GAAATCGGAGCAGCACCTTGCTGGTTTAGTTCTACCCTTTCAGGTGTGCGGGAGATGCTCACCACCTCTTCCTGCGGACACAACTACGACCGCAACGGGTTTAGGGCAGGTAACACCAACGTAAGGATTAGGACAACTCGGTCACGCCGACTGAGTAGTCCATCGCTTCAAACCTGTGCGTGGCTAACGCGAGCAGAGGTCAAAGCACAAATAGCGCTAAGCACGTCCGTCACCGCGCTTCTCCAAATTCGCCGACGAGCTCTGTTCTCCTCCTCCTGTAAAGCCAGCCCAAGCTCTGGTGAGCGCGAACTTCAGCCATCTCCTCGGCCTGGAACTGCTCAACAGCCTTCCTGGCCGAGCCAGCTACGCTTTGAGATCTCCTAGCTCTCTTACTCCTTTCAGTGTGATTCCTGCCAACCCATCACATCTGATTTTCCGCTGTGGCTTCTTGTACTTGACTCCTGGAGATGGCACGAGGCATTAAACAACACTTAGCAACTCAGTCATACTTGACTCGGAACTCCCCTCCCAACTCTGCAAGTGAAGGTCAGTCCTTTATTCATCAAGATCCCACCAAGACAGTCACAGGGGCAGAACTGGCAATGGATTTCAGAAAGCACTGGAGTTAATGTACTTCTACACACGACAGAAGCAGCTTTCTTGTTTGCTAAATGAAACATCTGCAGTGCCTACAATCAGAATTTTATTACCCTTAACAATTTAATATCAAGAGAAGCAATTTAATATCAAGCGACTGTATTAGCTGTCAGTAATGTTATCAATATTACTAGTGGCTCTTAAACAAATGAAGCTGCTGCCCAGCAGGGCCAGATCACTAATTAGCAGGTCCCAAAGGCAGCCGGTTACTGTTAAAGTCAGTAAGGCTTAGAGGCTGGGCAGAACCTCTTCTTTTCTTTGTCCAGTTGCCAAAGCTTTCTGTCCTAAGTTCACACAGATTCCTGGCATCAATATGAGTCAAGTCTTCCCTCAGGTCACATACAGTATAGCACTTTCACAGGCTAAAGTCTGCCTTAAGTTCATAGCTTTCAAATCTTGGTATCTGATGCTAGGTTTGAAATTGTATCTCGAACCTCCACAAGTATTGGGAACCTGCATGTACTACAGAGCAACTGAACCAGCAGCACTCAACCACCTCGAAGACTCAAGACATTTTTATTCAGGTAAATCTGTAAGAGCCTCCTTTAAAAATGTTTAACTGAAATTAAAATGATCAGTTGAAAATGTTGAGCTTAGTGTAAAATCTACGGTGTCTTCCACAGTCTGAACAGTTTATGTGGAAAGAAACTTTATTTCACTCAGTGATAATTTCAGTAAATAGTTTCCCACAAATAAGTGTCAACAACAATCAAAAACCAAAGATGACTTACTCTAGAAATATATTTTTAATGCTAATGAACCTCTTCTCTTTGGTCAGAATATTTCACTTTTAACATACTTCTGCTTTTGTACCTCCTATTTAAACACATATATATTTGATTTTAATAGATATATATTAAAACAGGAAAAAGAAACATGTGACAGGAAATTTAAAAATTGCTAATTTTTGATTCTGCAGTAATGAGTAGCACTATTGTATGTGTTTCCTTTCTGTAGTGGGAATTTAGAAGTCTAGAGTGAATGCAATAAATATGGCAGTGGTGAGCAGAAACAGCACTGCTCAAAATCACGTGCAGACAGTCTCTTGACAGAAATCTGCTTCCTTCAGTGTCTGCAGTTCTCACTATGCACTACAGTGCAACGTAAGCACTCCACAACAGAAACCAATACCAACAGGTATTTGCAAGAGCCTCTTAAAATACAGTTTGCCCACCTCCTTTCAACACTAACACAACACAGAATATAATAAGGTGCAGCTTTCTGACTAGGAATGCTCAACAAGTCTCTAAAATGCCCTGCAATGTGGTGTATGCTTCTGACACAAGAGCCACCGCTGCCAGGTAGCCAAGAGCCCCACCAGACTCTAACATATCCTGGGGCTCAGCCATCTCAGGCTTATGTGGATGTTGCCTGTCAGGCAGTCTCAAGGAAAGCAGCCTTACCGGGAAACCAGTCAACTGTGGGTCTAGGCCGGTACTTCTCAAGGAGGTAAAAATTAAGCTTACCTAGAAACAGTTAATGTAAATTGCAGACTAGGGTCAGATTCTGCTGTCCTTTGGCAGGATCAGAAGTACTCTGACGGAACAAAAATAAGAATCAGCAGCATAGTGTGAAATGAATCCTTTTGGCTGATGATATAACTGACAGTAAACTGAGCAGACTGTTGTAGCTCAGCATGCAGAGAGTATAAACTGGTAGTCCCACTCTTCCTCCCCCTTCTGCCATGCCACCACAGCCTCACAAGGAGGACGTGAGTTTAAACAAAATGCATTGTAGCTGCCTCCTATGTCCTGCTATGCTTTTTTGGTATATTGCCTTCCCTTACTGGCTCCTATTGAGAATCAGCATTGGAAACCAAGGAACAAGGCATTGTGTAGTGCTGCATGTTGGGACCCAAATCGTAACCTACGGGATACATCAGCAGAGTAGACAAGAAGTGAGAATTTGAATACAGATATTAATGAGAACAGTAATGGGATGAAGTAGTATCTTCTCCTTTTAGTTTTGGGAGATCCTTTCCTGAATATATAAATAATTTGCCATGGAAGGTAAAGGAAGTCTATTCATTCCTAGTCCTAAACAGGATGCAGACAGTTCTGCCAAACTTATAGCTGCAGGGGACTCTTAAGTCATGGCTCATTACTAGGGGCAAACAAAAATGTTTACACGAACTTCAGTGTTCACGCTCAACACTGTGAAACACTGGAACATAAGCAATTTACTGAAGATAGCCTTAGCCTCTTGGGACATACAGATGCTTCCCAAGTTTCTTTGCCTTGACATGGTATGTCATGGACCACCATTCTACTGTACGTCAAACTCAATCTTCTGCCCTCTTGCCCCTTCCAGAAACACACTAGAAAGCAAGCTAGTTTCCTCCCAGTTTTTACGTCCCCAGTGTCCTGATGCAAAAAATGGAACTTGGACAAATAAACAGATTGCTCTAAAGATAGGATTCAGGGGGTAGCCTTCAATTCAATAAGCGAAGTATATAGAAAGTTTGCAGCTACTATTTTAGTCTCTAAATTAGAACACTGGCTCTTTTATGAAGAATCTGAAACAGCTGTGTAAATAAACATAAGCAGGACAAAACTCTTCCTCCCACAACATCCCATTTTTTGCAGATATAAGAATGCTGTCCCTGTGTGTACACACTCTGGTTATTCACTCTACATGCGGTGAATGAAGGTATAACTCCTAGGCTGAAGTAGTATAGAGATATCACCCCAAGATGCATTACCCAAGGAAAAAGATGGTATTTGAGGGGATCATACTTGCTACTCACACTGTGCACACCCAGAGCCTTCCAGATGGCAAAACTGAGCAATCCAACTCCACACCACGCGTAGAGTGAGCCCCATCCTAGGGCTCGTAAGGCCAGTGATGAACCGCTCTCTGGTAATGCAGCGGTGGCAGTAATCCCCTAGAACCAAAAATAAAGTGATCAAGACAAAGTGAAAATAATTGGAAAAAAATATGAACTAAAAAGGTTAACTTAGTGATCTAGAATTTTTCCTGACTTGCCAGCTGTACTAGTGTGGCCACAGAAACTGTTATGGCTGCCAGCAGACCCAAAGATCCAAGCAAGGGGATGGATGAGCTGCCTTCCCACCAGAAGTGGCTTTCATGGTTGCTAGTACCACCTGGGGATGGTTGTTATTACCCAGAAATGCTGAAGTCAACTGTTACGTGGGCACAAGAATCCGACACTCAGTTATTCCACCAGTCAAAATACAAAACTGAATCAAAACCAGTCACAAACCCTTATGCGAGTGACATCAGAACATAATCACCGTATGTCATTGATTTTGGTACTTCTTCTTGGGGAGTACAGATGGGGAGCAGCCATTGGCCTAGAGGTCTTTATCTGTGCTCCTGAAACAGCAAATGAGGAAACTGGAGGAACCTGAGTAGCTTTCAGCTTGACACAGAGAGGGTATAACAGTGACTGAGAGACTGATTTTGAGGGGCTGCAACTCTGAAGGAGCTCTGGAAACTATTCAGGAGAATTTTGTAAAGAGTGAACAACAACGCTGAACCCATCCTCCTGCAGAGTTCACCAAGTGGCAACATAGAAAATGCTCTGCAGTCTATTGTCAGAAATGAAAGTAGGTGGTTTTAACCACTTGTTAAGATACTGTTGTGTAAAAGCATGCCATGAGATGTGTCCCAAAAACAAACACTCTCACTTGGAAAAGCCACCTCAGGCCAAGAAGAATAGAGCCTCAGCCATGATGGGGTCCCAAGCAAGATGAAACCTTCTCTGCCACAGCACATAAATGCACATTGCAGCTACCAAGGGCATAAGCCACACACTGGCTGACATCAATCAATTTGCACTGCACGTTCACCATTAGCCAGCCATTCTCATCTCACAACGCCCATCTTACTGTACTTATTTCATACAGGACAGCTTCAATCTGTGTAGTCCGCAACAGCAGTAGGACAGACATAATCCTCTTGCTCATAGTGGTAAATGTCAGCAAGAGGGCTTGGCTTTTTTCCCCCAAAGGATTACTGTTCAATTCTTCACATAAAAACATAGATTTCAGATGGTAACTGTTAAAGACTGGCACCTACAGTCCTTACACAACTAAACAGTCCTACGTACTTACTGGGTATCTCCGGGAAAAAAACACAATTATTGCTTAGAGGTAAACATAAATGAGAGTGCAGGCACACAAATACATTCAATAAAGAACTCTTTCATTTACAGTCTAAAATACTGAAAAGTGAAATTAACTTGCAGAATGATCCAAAAAATTTTCCTCCAAAATATGCCAAAGAGCTGCACTCTTCTATCATCACAAAAAGTGGGAAAAAAATCTTTTGTATTCTTGCTTTAAAAAGAATTTAATTTTTTTTTAAATGGTTCTCTTTCTTTGATATAATTAAAAATATGTAGTGCCTATCACTATGGTATTTGGTCAATGAAATAGCACCAGTAGTTTTTTTTTCCTCTTGGCTTTCTATTTATTGAAATGTTAAAATGATCCTCAGACAGTCCTCAGCATTAACACTCTTCCTTAGGATTTAGCTGTAGGCACAGTTACCCAAGGACAAACACACATTTGCAAAGGACACAAGCAAAATGTATCTTGATCCTTATTTATTCTGATTTGGACATCCCAAAGTGGAAGCTGTTAACAAAACAATGCTCTGTAAGCATACACATACATGCACAGAGACACAAACAACAGAGATCTCCAGTCGCACTGTTATACCAGGTCCTATTTTTAACTTACCACAGCTAATGAACTTTCCTAAGTCTTTCAGTAGAGACTGCTATGAGTAGGTTTAAAATGCTGATGATTATTTCTGACATTTTTCCTGCTTCCATAGTCTAACCATATACAACAACAGGCAGAAAAATCTCTCCCATTCAGAAGATGGGAAATGAATGGACAAAAATATCCTCTACTCAGAATCTTTAAATAGGAGTCATTATCTGTGAAAATTGCTGGCAAAAAAACCCAACCACCACCCGAATGGTATTTAAATGCTTGATTGCTCCAGAAAAAAAGGGTAAATGGTAACAATTGATTTGGTTTTACTGACAGCAGTCAAACAGCGTTCAGTCAGAGGCTGATTCCTTGGGGTGTTAAGTACACAGATAAGGATTTCTGTGAACAGTTTGTTATATGATTATCAGGTATGCTGTTCAGAGCATCAAGAAAGCTGATTAATGAAATGCTAAAAAAATTTCAAAGACAGCAGTAGCATGGGAGAAAAAGATGTCACCAACAAAAGAACATTTTTAAGAGAACTGAGTTTTATTCACAAGCCTGTTATTCTATGCCCAGATTGTCATCTCTTCATTACTGCTCCCGTATATTTTTTAAAAAAGGAACTCTTTAATTAAAAAAAAAAAAAGCTATTAAACAATACTTGAGTCTTTCTAAAAACCAGGCCAGGAAAATATAGGACAGAATTAGCTGATTTGGTTACCAAAATATATGATGATGATGCTTTTTTTTTTTTTTCTGGAGGATATAAGCAGGAAGTGGGAGAAGGAGAAATTACATTGTTTTTTTCAGACACAGGCCTCAATCCTGTAACTATCCCCTTGTGGATAACAGTATGTCTGAAAGGAAGCAGTGCCTAAAATAAATGGCGTGTTCAACTGTTTTGGTTGATTGTATTCAGCATGTTCACTGTTCTGTATGATCTAACCCATTGTAAAATAAAACACCTGGCTAAATGCTGGTAAAACTGAACACTTATCACAAGGAGGCTGCTACATCTGAACATTTAATTTTACCACCACCACCACCCCCAATAATTTCTTAACGGAAGGTCTCTCCAGTGGTTCATTACTAAACAGGATTATGTAATCTCAGTTTCAAGTCAATTTGTGTGCGGGTCCTACAAATGCTTACATCCACTTCACTATCACGGAGGAGGTACAGTAGGTGCAATTTCAGCTTTATCTCTTCCCAGTAACGCTGATGCTACTCTACAAGAGTAGGGTCTCACACTGTTGCTTCCTGGAAGCCTGAATGCAGTCACGAAGCCATGATGCTGTGATGCCACAGCTTCCCCTCTAAATTGCTATTTTTTTCTCCCATAAAACTATTTAAATCTGTCCCAGGCTGTATTCTGTTTGCTTCCTGTTTCTACCTGACTTGCATGCTGTCACTTCACTGACACAAAAACTGGTACAAGCCAGCAAAGATGCCAGAAGATTAGGTCTCGCATTTCTTCCCAACATTGATCATCAATTCTCATTCCTTAGGACTTTCCCCCAAGCTTGTGCCAGCACAGTCACTGCAGTCATGCAGTGAAGGGGATCAGAAGACTGACTTGGACTAAAACTAATGCAGGAAATAAAAAAAAACAACACAGAATTAACCAGTATCATCTCACCAACCCAGTAGCACAAGTGTTGGTGCCTTTACAGGCACTTGAATGAATTGCCAGAAACTAAGGGCTGGTAGGATTACTTCTTTCAACAGCAATGCTGGCTGATTTTGCTTAAAGTACCTGTAAAACTACGGCCAAACCTTAACATGGATAAAAATAACATTTAGGCATTGAACATCCAAGAAGGATGCAATCATCTGTAGTTATTCATAGTTGCGTTTTTGTTATTATATATGATGTGTTATTAAAAATGACTTGCAGAAACTATAAATTTAAGTAAGAGTGCCACTGCAAAACTGTTTACCTCATTGGTACCTCAGAGAGCCTCTATAGACAGTTAAGTCATTTTCAAAGTTTAGCCTTCCCTTTTGAAATTGCTCACCTACAAGTACCTTGACAAAAAAGCATCTTTCTACACTTTTCAGTATTTAAGTTGAGAGGCCCAGGAATCACAGATTTTTGCTAGCAAACTGGTGTAATTCATTTGCATGGATAGTAGCAGATACAGGTTTTCAGCAAAAATCGAAATGGTATGTATCACTTGGTGCCATTTCCAGCATATATATTCTCAGATGTCAATGTAATGTCACTCCTGATAAATTTCACACTGATAACAGGACAGCTCAGACAGCCAAAAATACATGTGAGCTGGAGAAAATGCAATGCTCAAGAAAAAGGAAGTTTAAAAAAAAATTATGTTAAAAAAAGAGAAAACTTCCTTATTGTAATATAGTTCTATAGCTTGTGAAATAACTTCTCATGGAGTTTTCTATTTTGTCTATTGCAGAAAAGAAACCCATGTTTATTGTTGCTGAAAAGGCAATGGATGAGTTATGCCACAGCAGAGGAAAACAGGATGGCAAAGGAAGGAACTCACGCTCTTTGACCACAAAAGGACACTGGGAGTGATCAGATACAAAGGCTCTGATAGAAACTGCAATGAAAGTTTTTTTTTTCTCTTGATATGCATTGTTATTGAATTAACATTTTAAAAATAAGCACAACTGATTGATTCTCAGCTCCCTAAAAACATCTGTAAAATATGTTGTATTTTAAGGCCTCAGTGGAGACAAGACTGATCAATTTTAAGGGCCTATTTTTTACATTTTCGGCAGTAACAAAGCATTAGTGAGGAAAAAAGCATTCTTCAATTAAATATGCTGTATTTCAGATTAGTATAATTGCTAGCTTTGCTTTGCAGTTTTCTTCTACAGAACGCTCAGGTGGATCCTGTTAGTAATTGCACGAGATCAGATTATTTTTGGCCATCAGATCCCATAGTACCAAGCCATTACTCACTCTCATCAGTCCCTTTACATGGTGGGAAGAGAGTGGAGAGCTTAAAATTTTGACTAAATTATTCCACTTACATATTCCACAGCTTACAGGCTTTCTACCTCCTCGTTCCCATCCCTACTGCAGTTACTTCACTTCCCAATTCACTATAGCACTGTGGGACTGCATGGTGAACTGGATCACTGAGGTGATACAGGGTCATGACTGAAGCGTGTTCACATCACAGAATCAAACCAGACCATCAGTTATATTCCATTATATAGCAGTAGTATGATTCCAGCAAACAGTGTAAGCTTTATGTATTTTAACTAATCTCGAGTACTAAAGTATTTAGCAGTGCCAACTCTGAACTCATTTTTAACTTAATCCTACCTCTCTTGACTTCAGTTAAGTCTAGCACTCTTGCCATCAACTTCGTCCAGCCAAACTCCACATATATCAACATTTCTAAAAAGCATTTGATGCATCCTTATTTCCTGCATATCACAATTGGAAAAGTTTAAAAGGAACAAACCTTACTGAACCAGTCTGGGTTCTTCTTTTTTGTCATGGCAAGTGTGGTGCCAAAACCTGCTATCATTCCTGCTGTAGCAACAGTACCTAGAAAAATTCCACCTGTCAAGAAAAGTTTAAGAAATAAAATTTAAGATTTTGTTTCTTAAGGGGAGAAAAAAAAAACCACAAACCACAAAACCAAACCTGTTTTGAAAATAAAACCTGAAAAATTAAGATCTGTCAGCACATGCAGAAGAGAAAGGCACAGTTGTCTACATTATTTACATTAACTCAATATGGCAAGAAAGCAAGAAAGCATATTTTAAAATAGAGCATTTTTTAAATTAATGGCAAGTGTATGTATTTTCAACCTACAAACACACACACAAAAATCATTCAAACCCCAGGATGCCTCTTCACAATACTTCAAAATTTCTCTCTCACTTCAGAGCCAGGCTACTAAAATCATCTTGTTCTATGGCTACACCTCACCCTTCCCCAAAAGGAAGATGCAATTATTTTTGTTGCATCAACTGTTGTTTCAAATAGCCACCTGAAAATCCACCAGTACCTCTGAAGACCATTCCATAAGCAACACTTGCTCTTCAGCTTTCTTCTTTTATGTTCTAATGCTCTGTTTAAAAAAAGAAAATGACACTAGCAGGAAGCTTTCCCAAGATAGAAAGCATTCCTCACTTCTCAGTTCTTTCAGAGTGTTTCCAAAGTCACCTGGGGTTCCTTGATCCCTTCTAGTTCTTGCATCAAAGGCGCATGTAGCCATATGTGCCCACTTTTAAGAAAAAGGCTTGTTACAAAGACTGAGTGCACTGTACAAAACCATCTGATTCATATTAAAAATAAAACATTTCAGGGGGTTACAAGTTCTTCCTTTGCAACTATTGATACCCACAGCCTGTCTTCCCTTTCCTAATACCAGTTAAAAAACTGGCCTGAATAGGAAGCAAGAAGCAAAGCGCGTTTATGTTGGGTCTCACTTCTTAAAAATTAACTATCCTACGACTGTGATGAAAGAGCTTGCCGTACTCGCGTCAACGAAATCCGTGAAGCGCCTCTTGCGCCTGGGAGCAGGAAGACCTCACACGCTGTCCGCACTTCGCACGCCCACCGCACTTTACGTTTCAAGACCTACTAACCAACATTGCCCCGACTTCAGATATAACGACCGGTCTTTAATTCGCTTCTCCTCAAAGAGGACGAGCTCGATGCACGGCCTCCTCCGGAGGGGCAGGGACGCGTTGCAAGGGGTAGGCAAAGCGTGCGGCGGTAGGGAACGGTGCCCCTCCGTCAGCGCGCTGACAGAGACGTTACCGCCCGGTGCCTGCCGCGGGGCACATCCACCTGGCCGCGGTCCGCCCGCCTTCCCCCGCCGTCCCCCCGCCGCGCCGGGACGGGGCGGCCTGGGCCGGTCAGCGCGAGGAGCTCCGGCCTCCGCTCCGCCAGGGGGCGCGGGCAGCCCGGGCACCCACAGCGAGCGGCCGCTCAGCGAGCCCCGGCAGCCGCCGCTGCGCCCGCAGGCGCCGGTGACGGCGCAGACGGTTGGCTCTGCTGCGAGGCCGGGCTCGCCCCTCGCCTCCGCCCCCCCGGCTGGGATTCAGCGCGGGAGAGCTGCTGCTTCTGCCACGGAAACTTCGCTTTAAGGAAGCTGCGGCGCGCTCTCCGACCCGTACGAGCCGCCTCTTTCCCCGCGGCTCCTACCCCCTCCGGGCGTCCCGGCAGGGCTGGGCGCGGACCGCCGCCCGCCGCCGCTCGCAGCCCCGCAGGGCTGAGCTCCCGCAAGCCCCCGCCGCGGTCCTCCCGCCTCGGCCCGGGGCGAGGGACGGAGGCGGCTCCCCTCCTGCCCTCGGTCCGCCTCGGGCCCCCCCGCATCCCGCCCAGCAGCGCCGGGGCGGCCCGCGCCGTGCCTTGTAGCCCCGTTTCCCGTCCCCGTACCGGCGGCGGGTGGCCATGGGGCGGCAGGCCCCGCCGCCGCCGCTGAAGGGGAGGGAAAAGGCGGGCGGCGTTGTAGGGGCTTCCTCGCTGCCTCCGGAAGCCTCGGCCTCGGCCATCCCCAAACGCCTCGGCTCCTCCCCGGGGACGGGAGAGTGGGGCGAGACCTCGGGCTACGGCAAGGGGGGGGGCACAGAAACGCCTTCCTCCCGGGCGCCGGCCGCCGCGTGCGCCGTCCCGGCGGCAGCCACGGGGCTCCCGCAGCCGGCGCTGCTCGTCCCTGACCCGTGCAGGCAAGGGAGGGGAGGGGAGGAAGGCTTTCTGCACCTTTGATTAAGAAGAGCTTGTCCTGGGACGCCGCAGGGCTCCCGCCCCCCCGGGGCAGGGGCAGAGGCAGACTGCGCCCGGGGTCCAGCGGAGGCGCTACCCCTTCCCGGGCGTCCGCGCCGGCAGCCGCCCCCATGGCCCAGGGCGCGGAGGAGGAGGTGGCGGCGGCGGGCCGCAACCCGGAAGGAAACGGAGCTGGGCCGGGACACGCAGCCGCCCTCCCTCCTCCTCCTCCTCCTCCCTCCTCCTCCTCGGCCGCGCAGCCGGGCGGGGGGAGCCCGCCACCCCGAGGGGCTCGGCCGGCCGCTGCCGCCCCGCAGCGAGGCCGGAGGAGGGCGGGGGAGCTGGGGCGCGCTGACCCGAGGAGTGGCTTCCCGGCGGCTGAGGCAACCGCCGCTCGCCCGTGAGGTGACTGGGGGCGGTCGGCGCCGGCGGCAGCCGGTACCGCGGTGGCCAGGGGGCGGGCGTGCCCCGGTAAAGGACGGCCCCGGGCACTGGAGGTTTTTCCTCAGCCGCTGTTCTCCTCGTGTGCCGCTGCCCGCCGCCCCCTTGGTGACCGGCTGTCGTCGGAGGGCGCGTTCGGTGTCCCCGAGAGCCCACGTCGCGAGGGGGGAAAACTGGCAGAAGTTGTCGAAGCCGCTTTTAAATCGAGTATTTTGTAGCGGGCGCACAAGGGCTTTTTTGTTTTAAGTCTGTGGGACAGATGATGTCATGGACTTTACTAAATGAAACTGGGGGAAAGTCTGTCTTCCCATTATTTTTACTAAGCTGTATCTTCACGAATGGTGTTGCTCTCGAGTACATCTTTTTGTTCAAAATTAATCAATTCTCCCAAGTTACGTGAATAGTTCTTCATATGCATCTAAATTGTGTCTGAATGAAATCATAAAGTAACACTACGAGAACCGTACATTTCTGTCTTCTTTCACGCCTGCGCCACAGTAATTCTCAGTTGCTGTTGCTGATCGATAACTGTACAGCGATTTATATCCATCACTATTGAATGTGTTCCTTTATCAAACGGTATACTAACTTAACAGGATTCAGTACGGGCAGGTAAAGTATGTTTTTATTTATAACAGTCAGTACGTGAACAGCAAGCAAAGAATGTAAATAAATCCAAAACAAGCGTTTCTTCTCCAGCTTCCTTCTTTGTATCTTTTCATCATCATTTATAGTCTGTATCTACGGGTCTAATTATAGGGGGTTTTGGTTGCTAGGCAAAAATTTAGTATTTTGGGAAACTTCCTGTTCACGGTACTTCTGAAAGCTAATCCAAAGCTGTTTCCTAATGGTCCATGTACTGTGTCAGTTAAACAAAATTTTACACAATCAAGAAGCAGTTACTGCAAAAGGAGACATTATCTCTGCTGTATAGCTGACCCATCATCACTAACTCCATTTTTCTAATCTGGACAGCACCTAAATGACTTACAGTCTTCTTCCCTCCTTTGGAAAAAGCACCCCAAAATCCTGTGTGTGTTTTGGAATGGCATTAGATTTTGCCACAAATAATAATAAAACCTCCTGGAAAAGCTTAGGAAAGGTGGTCTTTAGAAAAACTGCACAGTGACAATATTAAAGAGGAAAATACTTTTTATTTTGTCTTTGTGCTGAAGTGTATATGATTATATGAAGTATTTAAATGTTATTAGTATGCATAAAACTAAAACAGCAGCACGCATGTCATTTTGATTGTAAATTGTGTCAAGATCACCATTGCATCTGCTAGAAGAATCCTTGAACTGTGAGAGATAATAACCTATTTTTTGTGTCTTTGATGATAAAATCCTAGATTTTTTTCTCAGGATAGATTTTTGAGTTCACATCAATCAAGACATCACTTTCTTTCAAATCTTCTCCAGACCTGGGAAGAAAGAGAAGAGAAAAGGTATAATGATGTTATTTAATCCTGGCTTGAATAATGCCAAGAATCTACCTTTAAGAGAGTCAGAAAAGATCTGTCTCTATTAATCATTCACAGAGACTTAAAGTAGGGCATAAAACCCATAAAATCCACTCTGTTCGACTGAGTAACTTAAAATTCTTAGTGTTGTAAAATAAATTGTCCTGCTTTAAAAGAACAGAGATGTTCAGCAGAATTGCATCCATTTAGCTTACAATATTAATCTCTTCTGTTATATAATTGAATATAAGATAATGCTTTCTCTCCTCTTACGTATACCTCACCCAAGAGCCTTGCATTTCCTGTCATTATTCCTTCTCTCACTGTTGTGGTACACATGCAAGCGTACTCATCTATATATGGCTACTCAGAATTAACCAGTTATCTTTTTCTAAAATTCAGTTATGTTTTTCTAAAAGCGGACACATTTTTGTTTGAAAGACAGATTTTAATTGTTCTTGTATCAAATATCCAAATCTTTGTAACATGAGGGCATGAAAATGTATATGCAAATAAGTAGGCTATATAGGTGATAGCAGAGTTGAAAAATACATTACTTTTACTCATTTAATTTGACCACAGGTCTGAGCTCTCGTAGCTTTGAATTTGGACAAAGCACCAGTAATTGCTTGACCAGGTTCAGGCACTGTGGCCATGTTTACTTTCTGTCGAGGTTTGCAATAGCCAGGATGCCCTGAGTTTGTGGATGGTGGGCTTCCTTCTGTGGTCTTCCTGTTTTATTACAAAAAATTTGGTGAGCCAAAAGCAGACAGTGAGAGGCAACCAAAGTTTTCAGTTCTACCTATGATTGTGAAGTTGTGGTTAGGATTTCTACGTCGACCCCTGGGTTTTAATGAAAAATTGGTAATACAGTGCCTCTCTCATGAAAGTTCATTAAGAATGTACAGTATTGGTGAGGGTGAAGTGTGGAAACAGAATAAGGAAGAGCACAAGGAAGAAAAGAAATTTAACAAAAAACCAAAAGAAACAGGTTTGCGTAAATATATTCCCTAAGAGATTTTTATAATCTTTGTGAATGCATGGTATTTCTGCCGATAAGCAGCTCTATCAAGAAATAACAGCACGGTGTGCAAACTTCTTAGCATAATGCTGCAAAATATTTCAGTCTGTGTTTCTCCTGCTCCCCTTCCTTCTCTGTGCAGGACTGCACAGTGATACCTGGCCATCTCCACTGAAGCCAAGTTTCACTTGAGGACCAAGCTTGAAATCTAGGTCTTCAGAGGAGAAAAAGCTAGTTTATAAGCTGGCTGGGACATAACCAATGCAGTAATTCGATACATTCACTAAATTGTCTAACTGACTGATTTTATATATCCAAAACAGTCTTGAGTGCCACTGCAAAAAAAGTTGGCAGCTGAGGCACAGAATTCTGCTTGGAGTTTGAAAATCCAATTCAAATCATAGAGAAGGTTGATTTGAATACTGGTTAAACTGACATGTTCGGTAACAGAACTGGATTATGTAAAAGTATTTGGGAGAGAGCCAAACACTGGTTTTGGAAAGAGAAAATGCAGCAGTTGGGCTACTCTCTGGCTCTCAGGAGAGCTGAGCTTTGCTCTCCGCCTGACTCACCGGGCTCATTTCCTGTGTTTATGAAAGCTTAGATATTCCTGAAAGCACCATGCAGCCTCAATGCTGTGTATAGGCAGGCATGAAGAAACCGGTTACGTATTTCTAAACAATTTTCTGGTCGATTGGACAAGAAAGCATTCAGCAGCTATGATTGGGTTTCTGCAGGAACCTCTTTTTACAGTAAGCTGGTTACCGTTGTGCATCTCTTAAAAAGCCGATGACTGAAATTCCCATGCTGAGAGTAAGTCCTCAGGTCTTTTGTCTCATATCGCAGAAAAAATCTGGTCACTGAGTAATAATTTATAGACTTTAACCACAGAAATACTGACAAAGTCAGTGCTCGTTTGTCAAATGTAAGAACAACTATAAGAAGAGCCTTGTATTGAAGAATCAAAAGACACTTTAAAAATATCAGTTGAGCTACCTTCATAGATTTATGGGAGGGGTATTTTTCCATTTGGTGAAGATGAAGAAATCAATCAGTTTGCACAAAGTTCTGCTGTAGTTCTTTGGTAAAATCAGGAGCTGAGAGGCTGGACCTCCAGATTCCCAGTCACCTCCCCCAGCCCCAGAGCTGCCTTTCTAAGCTGCAGCTTACTTCTGCAGAAGATGAAACGCTTCTTTTTTAATTTCACTTTTACATTTGGTTAATCAGCAGGGCATATCAGGCGTAGCTTTGGACAAGACTGAGTGTGCTGGCATGCTGCACTGAGACCACAGTAGCCCTGCTTTTTACGGCCAGAGCCTGGCCACATTTCAGTAAATGGCAAAAGTCCCATTGGCAATATGGCCAGATTTTCAGTTATAAATCCCAAATTAGCACTCATGGATGATGACATTATGGCTGGACAGAAGCGCACTTCAAATTTCAGAGCTGATGATAACAAATATCAAGGCTGTCATATGCCTTGGACAGCATTTACTTGGCACTGCAGAGATGAGAACACTTACGGAGGGTTTTCTTGCATATGCATGTATCTACTTGTTTTCTATTCTTATCCTTTACTAAATTATATGTTTTATTACCTGCTCAGTGTTTTAAGATATTCTCTCTCTGCAAGTAAAATACGCCTATATCTCTTTGGCTCTGCCCACATTAACTAGAGAGGCAAATCGTAGATCCCGTTCCAATTCCCGTGGTATTACCATTGTTTTTACAGACCTAGCAAATATGTTTATGAGGTCTTTTTTATTTTTTACTGGGTACCATGTCTTTAATGGTCTCAGTATGTATTTCATTATAGAATAGTACTCTATAAACTTTTAATAGTTACTTTGCTGTACCTTATTAGAAAACCCTTTAACATGGTCCAGAAAAAAAATGTATTTCTGACTGAATTAAAAAAAGAAAGAGCAAAAATTAATTATAATTTCCACGGTGTCATTAGAGCATGGCCTGGTACTTGAAGCTCAGCCACTCTGCCTGGATGCTGCTACCTGAGGTAGCAGCGGTGGTCCTGCACTACCGGTTAGATCGACCGGTTCTGCCTGGTGACAGCCTGGAAGTAGGATTTTCTGCAGAGAAAATCTGCTCCTGGCCCGCATGGCCAGAATTGGAAATTTCCAAAATTATGGTTGGCAGGGCAGAGGAGGCCTCCTGGTGACAGTCCAATATGTAGAGTTGTCCATCCTGTGTGTGGGCTCCATGAGATGACTTCTTTGT